TCATCCAGACAAGAAAGTCAATGAGGAAACACAGGCCTTAAATTATACATTATACCAAATGTACTTAATTGATATTTATAGAACATTCCACCCGAAAGCAGCAGAATACACATTCTTCTCAAGTACACACAGAACATGCTTCAGGATAGATCACATAGTGGGCCATAAAGAAAGCCTCAATAATCTAAGAAAACTGAAAACATATCAAGCATCTTTTCTAACCACAACACTATGAGATTAGAAATCAACTACGAGAAAAAAACTGTAAAAACCACAAACACGAGAGAGTGGCATGGACATATATACACTACCAAATGTAAAATAGATAGCTAGTGGGAAGCAGCCGCATAGCACAGGGAGATCAGGTCGGTGCTTTGTGTCCACCTAGAGGGGTGGGATAGGGAGGGTAGGAGGGAGATGCAAGAGAGAGGAGATATGGGGATATATGTATACGTATAGCTGATTCACTTTGTTATACAGCAGAAACTAACACACCATTGTAAAGCAATTATACTCCAATAAAGATGTTAAAAAAAAAACCAACATGCCACCTTTTTGATCTATGTACTCAACCAGGAAACAAAAACATGAGAGGTACATTCATCTAGCTGATAGGCTTCTGCAGTATCTCTTCAAGCCAGTAGGATCTGTGCCCTGCAGAACAATGTAGTCAGTATGTCTATAGGCCCTGATAAGCTTGAAAAATTATCCATACACTTTCTACATACGAGACTAACCAGAGCCAAGGGGAAAATCGTGTCCCTACTTTGGTATTATCTGTCTGATAAGTTTAAATGGGAAAAATGCTTTTCAATTTTTTCCATAGTCATTGAAACTGATAGTTTAATCTAAATAGTAACGTTAACATCAGTGTGACATTCCAGAGCTACTCATGTAGTTTTAATTTCCCCCCCACTTTGGAGAAATGACCTTGCACTACTGTGTTAAAAAGCAAATAGCTGCTTCAATATTTACATCAAAGTGTTTCCTCAATACATTTCAGTATAATAATTGCAAACAAGAAGAGAATGCAATTTTGCATATCATAAGTGTCTTCTGAAAGTCACTAAATATCCTGTATCAATCTAGACACTGATTATGTCCATTGTCTCTTTTATGTAATATTTATTTTCACAGAAATGCCTCAGGTGAATACAACTCTTTCCAGCTTGAGCTTTGTATTTTGGGAAATAATTCACAGAGTTCAGTGCTTCCAACTTTGATAGATTTATTGTCATGGCAGTGCCAAACATCTTTTTCTGATACTTGCTTACACATAGAGACTCAATGGACCAAGTGATGAGAACCAGAAGTTTAGTGCAGGTGCTTGTCCTAGTTTACACATATTTGGTATTGAACTCCTGGTAATAATGTTTACTTGCATGATGCATTATTGTTTTTCAGAGAGCTACCATATCCATTTCTCTTTGTTACAGACCTGTGGCTGTAATTTCTGAATTACTCCAAAAGGTGTCCTGCTTGAGAATGTGTGCACTATCACTCCTGCTAGAACTGCATATCTTCGGACATTGTTATTGCTTCTAGGTAAAATAATAGGGAGAGGAGATATGTTCAGGTGTAAGAATTGAAGAAATATGTTCTACTTAACAAAGATCTCATCAGCAGTCCAGTGGAAATCGGTGGTTACATTTAGTGAAAATTCTTCCCCAGGTGGAGCTTCTGGACCTAATGAAGGTGGAGGTATTTTTCACTCCTTGCTTTTTCTCAGAGAAAGCAAAACCATTATTCCTTGCAATGATGTGGGGAAAGAACAGTGGGAGCTCTGCTCTCCTACAATGAGTCCACCATGCAGAACCTGGATAGGTTCAGTATGTTAATCCATTTGTGTCATTCCTTTGTTGAGGACAGGTCAAGGATTTCCCTTTGCCTGCAGAGTAAGTAATATTTATGGTTCTTCGCATGGCCCATAAAAAAATCCTAAAGATGCTACCAGAAAACTACTAGAGCAATCCATGAATTCAGTAAAGTTGCAGAATACAAAATTAATACAGAAATCTGTTGCATTTCTATACACTAACAACAAAAAATCAGCAAGAGAAATTAAGGAAACAATCCCATTTACTATCACATCAAAAAGAATAAAATACCTAGTAATAAACCTACCTAAGCAAAAGACCTGTACTCCTAAAACTATAAGATGCTGATGAAAGAAATCGAAGATGACACAAACAGATGAAAAGATATACCATGTTCTTGGGTTGGAAGAATCAATACTGTAAAAATGACTACACTACCCAAGGTAATCTACCGATTCAATGCAATCCCTATCAAATTACCAATGGCATTTTTGCAGATCTAGAACAAAAAAAGTCTTAAAGTTTGCATGGAAACACAAAAGACCCTGAATAGCTAAAGCAATCTTGAGAAAGAAAAATGGAGCTTGAGGAATCAGGCTCCCTGACTTCAGACTATACTATAAAGCTACAGTAATCAAAACAGTATGGTACTGGCACAAAGATAGACTTATAGATCAATGGAACAGGATAGAAAGCCCAGAAATATACCCACACACCCATGGTCAATCAATCTCTGACAAAGAAAGCAAGATTATACAGTGGAGAAAAGACAGTCTCTTCAATAAGTGGTGCTGGGAAAGCTGGACAGCTACATGTAAAAGAATGAAATTAGAACATTCTCTAACACCATACACAAAAATAAATTCAAAATGGATTAGAGACCTAAATGTAAGACCGGATACTATAAAACTCTTAGAGGAAAACTTAGGCAGAACAGTATTTGACATAAATCGCAGCACTATCTTTTTGGATCCACCTCCTAGAGTAATGAAAATAAAAACAAACAAATGGGATCTAATTAAACTTAAAAGCTTTTGCACAGCAAAGAAAACAACAAGCAAAACAAAAAGACAACCCTCTGAATGGGAGAAAATATTTGCAAATGATGTGACCAACAGGGGATTTATCTCCAAAATATATTATATAAACAGCTCATGCAGGTCAATATCAAAAAAACAAACAACCCAATCAGAAAATGGGCAGAAGACCTAAATAGACATTTCTCCAAAGAAGACATACAGATGGCCAAAAAGCACAAGATGCTCAACATCGCTAATTATTAGAGAAATGTAAATCAAAACTATAATGAGGTATCACCTCACACTTATCAGAACAGCCATCATCAAAAAGTCTACAACCAATAAATACTGTAAAGGGTGTGGAGAAAAGTGAACCCTCCTACACTGTTGGTGGGAATGTAAATTGGTATGGCCACTACAGAGAACAGTATGGAGGTTCTTTAAAAAACTAAAAATAGAGCCACCAGATGATCCAGCAAGCCCATTCCTGGGCATATATCCAGAGAAAAACATACTTCGAAAAGAAACATGCAACCCCATGTTCACTGTAGCACTATTTACAATAGGTAGGACATGGAAGCAACCTAAATGTTCATCAACAGATGAATGGATAAAGAAGATGTGGTATATATATACAATGGATTATTACTCAGCCATAAAAAAAGAATGAAATAATGTCATTTGCAGCAACATGGATGGACCTAGAGATTATCATACTAAGTGAAGTAAGTCAGACAAAGACAAATATCATATGATAGCACTTATAGTGGAATCTAAAAAAAATGATACAAATGAACTTATTTACAAAACAGAATCAGACTAGCAGACTTAGAAAACAAACTATGGTTACCAAAGGGGAAAGGTTGGTGGAGGGGGGCGGAGGGGCTAGGGATAAATTAGGAGGTTGGGGTTAACATATACACACTACTATATATAAAATAGATAACCAACAAGACCTACTGTATAGCACATGAACTTATTTATAAAACAGAAACAGACTAGCAGACTTAGAAAACAAACTGTGGTTACCAAAGGGGAAAGGTTGGCAGTGGGGGCTAGGGATAAATTAGGAGGCTGGGATTAACATATACACACTACTATATATAAAATAGATAATCAACAAGGACCTACTGTATAGCACAGGGAACTCTACTCAACACTCTGTAATAAACTATATGGGAAAAGACTCTGAAAAAGAATAGACTTATGTATATGTATAATCACTTCTCTGTACACCTGAAACTAACATAACATTGTAAATCAAATATACTCCAACATAAAAAATAAAAATTAAATTAAATTAAAAAATATAAAACAGAAGTAAACATTTTAATTAATTAATTTTTTAAAAAGAAAATTTAGGAAGACATCTCCAGAGAAATTGATACATGTAAATTAGGGTGATGAATCAACTTTTTTTAAATGATAAAATTTCCTTAAACAGTTTTTGGTCATATTTGCTTAACAAATTTAAATATATAAAAAATAAATAACAGTTTAAATAGGTTTTTTAAAAAGGTATAATACATAACCATTTCTAATCCCACAGCATTCTGAGGACTGATTATTATTCACAAATGAATTAAAGATACATTTCTTTAAAGATGTAAAAAAAAATAAATAAAAGATACAATTCTTGCTTGTCTTATAAATTACTTTTACAACAATAAAATGTCTCCCATTTCAAACACTGAAGCAAAGCCCAAGTTACCAGTGATACAAATAATATGAAGAATTTTCCTAATCTGTGTCTACAGATTACAGGCATACCACTCTCCAAACTGAACTGAAGTGGGAATAGCAAGCAGAGAAAAGCAGTAGAATGAGGACATGTTTAGTAGTTCTCATTAACCTGTAACTGCCAAACAGTAATATGAAGTATTAGCACAAGATATAATTTTATTTATAGCAGATTTACCTAACTAATTACATTTTACTAAAGCTCATATTAAAATCAACATCACTTATCTGATGTTATCTGTATAAGGATGTAGAGGAAAATTAAACCTTTACTACAGATCATCTAAAGCTGAGGTATTTTAAACAAAACTATTCAAATTTGATTATACTTTATTTGGAGATTGCAATAATTCAAGTGTAGAGGGGAAAAACCTACCCATTTCTGCCATTAGTCTGGCAGAAGAGAAGACTCTAATAACCTCACCTCTTTAAGGTACCGAACCAGGCGACAGAGGGAGCTCACGAGCGACAGGGTGAAGCCGGTGAGACCCTGACTGTTCTGGAGCCCCCGGACCTCGCGTCCTGTCCACCGCTCATATTCTTCCATTTCATGTTCCACTTCATGTATCATGTGTTTGAGGACATCTAGGCTGGGGTTACTGCTATTCGGTAAGTCTGTGGAGGCTGTGCTGGCTGATAACACTCTATTCTTCTGTTTTGAAGGAGCACGCAAATCTGGTTTTCTTTTCACTGATAATGACAGAAGTCATTCTATGTTAAGACTGGGAAAAATTACAGTAGAAAAACGTTTGACTGTTGTTTACAATTTATAAAAGGTTTTTTATCGAAGTTATCATCATTTTCTCATAAAGAATCTATACTGTTTGAACCAGATTTACGCTATCTATAATGAATGGATGAGAACCATCCTTCTAGAGTTACATGGAATAAAAGGAGGCATTGCCTGGCTACCATTCAACAAACTCTTACTTAGTAGGATCCAACTGGATGAGTTTAAGGGAAAAGACATGCACTAATAAACTAAGAGAGCTGTGTCAAGTTACATGTTTAATAACCCACTTTGTCAATTAAGAGACTGAACCTTTATTTAGCAGCTGTTTTTGCTTCCTTGAGTTCAGCACTTGTCTCACTACATAGCTTGAGTCTAGAGTCTCAGTAGATTCTTCCAGTTGAAGCCTCGTATGGATTCTCTTAACAGCATTAGTAGCATTCAGAGCAGCTAAAAGGGAGAATTTTTCCAAAAGTATCTCAAGTGAACAACAACAAAAAAATTTTAAGCATGTCAATCGACAGGTCAATGAGTATTTACTCAACCAGGCTAAGACAGTCAAAACTCAAGTAATGTTCCTTTAAAAAATTACTGTGCTTAAGAAAGAACATAATAAAGTAAGCTACTACTCTGGGAGAACTAATACAGTCAGGAACCAAACCTTTTTGTTCTCCTGATGGAGAAGCAGATGGTGGAGTTCCTGAAGAGCTTGTTATTTGTGATTGTGTTGCTTCTTTCTGCTGAATATCAGTCCATAGTTTATTAATTAACTCGGAATTATCTTCCGTTATTTTGTGGAGAAACCTATAAATTATGGGACAACAAGCTATATTAGAATTAATAAGTACTATCATTTAACTTGTTCAACTGTTTACATGTTTGATTTGAAGAAACTTTTAATAATTCATAATCAAAGAGAAATATGTTTTGCTTTAACTTATAAGATAAAAATCTAAAATGCCAGTCTTCTCGGTGTTAGAAGGAATCATTCCATCTCCCTCCCAGTTTCCTAGCTATGCTGGCTCCTAAACCAGGAGCGATTTGCCCTTTCTGAAGTTTTGTGCTATAGGTTATGTCCTCCTCTCTCTTTCTCTAGAGAAAGTACATGGTTTCTATGAAGCAGCTTGTCCTCAGAGCACAGTCGCTGCTCATCACTGAAGTAAAGTGACTGGAGCAGACTCTGCCCCTGTGTTTCAGGGAGGCGGGGAGAGGGAATGAGGAGAAGAGCTACAGTGTAGGGGGTGAGAGAGATAAGCCTTTTGCTGTAATCAGCTTTATCACTGATAAAGCTGATTTTTCAATCTCCAGCTGTCTGATTTCTTTGTCTATTCCCCAACTAGACTAATATTTAAAAGAGGTAGAGGGTCTAAAAGTGGAAACAACCCAAATGTCCACCAGCTGAAGAATGGATAAGTAAAATGTGCTCTATCCACACAAAAGAATATTATTCAGCCATAAAAAGAATGAAGTGCTAACATGTTACAATATGGATAAATCTTGAAAACATGTGACAGACCCCAGACACAAAATATCACATACTGCATGATTCTATACAGAGGAAATGTCCAAACAGGCAAATCTACAGAGATTTAAAACAAAAACAAAAAAAAAACAGATTCATCTAGCAAATTAGATTGGGCTGAAAGGTTTGGGAGAAAATAGGGTCTGACTCTTTAAGAGTATAGGGCTTCTTTGAGGGTAACGAAAATGTTCTGAAATTGACTGTAGGTTGAACAATTCAATGAATATACTAAAAATCTAAAGATCTTTGAATATTATGCTTTAAATGGGTAGAGTGTATGGTATGTGAACTATAAATCAATAAAACTGTTATGGGAAAACAACAACAACAATGAGAGAGGAAAGGGGAGATCTTATTTAGTGGCTCTACAAACCTCAACCTAGAGGAGTTGCTTTAAAGCAACCTGTGGACAGCACATTGAACACTAGTTGCTATTAAGTTTAGTTAACAAAAGGCTGTAATGTGGTCCATTCACATTATGGCTAGTTATCAAAGCATCAGAAAGACCCCTCTGTAAGACAGTGTTAGTTAGGTCTAAGTCCAACCTTCAGGATAAGTCCTAAGAAAAGTGTCATAATGAGATTTCTGTACAAGTTGGGAAAATCCAAACCAGTTTGAACTCCCATTACCACCTCTAATGTTTATACTTTTAAGAATTAGGTTATATCTAACAACAACAAAATAAGACAATACTATCTATGGTAGGCTTAAGAATGGCCCTCCAAAAGATACTCATAACCTAATCCCTGGAACTTGTGAATGTTACCTTATCTGACTAAAAAGGGACTTTGCAGATGGATTAAGTTAAGGGTCTTGAAATAGGGAGATGATCCTGGACTACCCAAGTGGGCCCTGAATGCAATAATATGCATCCTTAAGAGAGAAGCAGAGGGAGGTTTTGACACACACAAGTGGAGAAGGTGATGTGGAGGTGAAGGCAGAGGCTGGAGTGATGTGGACACAAGCCAAAAACACACCACCAACCAGCAGAAGCTGGAAAAGGCAAGGCGTGGATTATAACTTAGAGTATCCAGAGGGAATGTGGCAATACCAACACCTTCATTTCAGTCTAGTGAAACTGATTAAGGATTTCTGGCCTCTAGAACTGTGAGAGAATAAATTTCTGTTGCTTGAAGAATAAACGTAATTCTGTACAAGATTAGTTATATTTAGGTTCTGAAAGAAAAAGTACTTAAAAGACTATACATATTTCCAGGTATTCCTAACAAAATGGTGACCAGCTAAATTTGAATTACTCTACACATCCTACAAAAAACTATACAGTGAAACAAGAAAAGCAAATAAAACAGCATATAACCCATACCTTCTATATTATTGGAAGACAGAGAATACTACTAACTTCAAACTACCTGTAGGTAGAAAAATAAGCATCAAATTCCAGCAAAGATATTTCTTGAGCTCCTGTAAGAAGCCTTTGCAAAGAATGGGGGCAGTTCAAAATAACTGCACAGAGAAAAGGAAAGCTGAGAGCCTAATGGTGACAAAAATCACCTCTAGAAAGAAAAAGTCCACTCTAAGTATGTAAATACTTAAAAAAAAAAAAAAAACCTGGGCAATCATAACGCCACCAAGAAGTCTGTAGAACCCAAGGTGGTAGTCTTGGGAAGGCATCACTTCTTAAGGAGAAGAGAGTGAACATGAAGGGAGAGGTACCCTTTGGAGGCTGAGTGCTAAAGGAGAAAAGATGCAAAAGTCCTTCAAGACAAAAGAGAACCATGATATTGGAGAACAAGCCAACTTTAACCCACCAACGCTTTTTTTTTTTTAAAGGCTCTAAATAAGCTGTGCCTCACCATAATTGACAGAAGAATCACCTAAAACTCCCAACCCTCTCCACAAAATGTACAATATAACAAAGGCAGTATATCAAAACAGAAAACTGAAATTGAAATATTTCAGCTAATGAAAATTCCTGCCCCCAACATGCAAAAAAAAGAAGAAAACTGGGCTTCCCTGGTGGCGCAGTGGTTGAGAGTCCGCCTGCCGATGCAGGGGACACGGGTGCGTGCCCTGGTCCAGGAAGATCCCACATGCCGCAGAGCGGCTGGGCCCATGAGCCATGGCCGCTGAGCCTGCGCGTCTGGAGCCTGTGCTCCACAACGGGAAAGGCCACAACAGTGAGAGGCCCACGTACAGCAAAA